AGGGAGGGAGGGAGAGGGAGGGAGGGAGGGAGAGGGAGAGAGAAGCGCCCTTCCTTGGACACTTCAAATAAGCTCTCTTGTGAGGGCCTTTGTGCCTGCTGTTCCCTCTGCCTGCCTCACTGTCCTTAGAAATAACTGCAGGCTTCAAGCTCTACGCAAATGCCACCTCCTCTGTGAAGCCCTCCCTTACCACCCTATTTAAACAGCAATGCCCTCTCCACCTCCCATGCCGTTCTCCCCTCCTCTTCTCAGTTTTCTTGTTCTCTACTGTACTTGCTCGCCCTGGGACCCGCTACTTATTTTACTCACTGGTTAATTGTCTGTCCCAACTAGAATGTCAGCTCTATAAGGGCCCGGATTTTTGTCTCATTCCCCGCTACCTCCCCAGTGCCTGGTACATGCAGATGCTCAATGAATAACTGTGCCCTGACAGGACTAGGCCACCAACACAAAAAGTGGGGCTTTGAGTGCTCGGTCAGAGCCACAGGTTGAAATGCATGGAGACTATTGGGCAATTCTGCTTCCAGGAACCCATCTTCTGACACTCACACGAGTGCACAGAAATGTATGCACAGGGATGTCCAGTGCGGTGCAGCGCGTAAAATTCAACACTAGAACTAGCCCGCCTGTCTATCACTAGAAGACTGGCTTCATAGTTTATGAGACACCCTCATGACGGGGTACTGTGCAATTATTTAAAAGACTAAGATAACAAAAGAATAAGCTGAATCAAAATTGCTGATGTGAAAATATACCCATGATATATGATTAAACAACAAGAAAAAGCAAAGGGCAGGACAGCTAAAATTTAGCTATAATTTTACATCACTGCTCTAAAAATAACAAGGGCACGGGTTAAACCAATCCGTCATCAGTGACTGTGACTAGTGCCATGGGGATGGGATGGAGTAAGACATAGACATAGGGGATCTTTATTTTTTGCTTTGCATGCTTTTTTTTTTTTTTTTTTACCAACTAGCATTATTACTTTTTAGAGCTTTTTTAAAGGCATCTTTAAAAGAGAGGACAGCACATTCAGAACCTGGAGGAGAGACTGTCCAGCCACTCGCAGCTCTCTGCTTCCCCACCACAGGACCCAGCTCTGCAGGGCACTGCTCCCCTGTCCCAAGTCCCTGGTCCCTTGGAGCTGGGTAAGGGGGCAGTCCTGCCCACCCTAACACAACTCTGATTTGTATTTTCACCAGGGTCATGGCAGGGACTTAGGAAACCCAGACAGTCTCTGAAATGCCCTATCTCTGCAGATTAAAGCTGGAAGGGGCCTTAGGGGTCACCTTAACCAGGGCGACAGCACAGTGAGGTGCATCCAGGGTCAGAAAGGGGAAAGGTACAGGAGGAAGAGAGAACAGAGATGACCCAATCCACTCACATGTCGTACAAAACAACCTTCAGGACCCAGGGAGGCAGTTAACAGGGAATTCTGGAAACAGTGCTTCTCCTACCTCCCAGTCCAGGCCCCCAACCAGGAGGGGACACTGCTCACCCCCCGAGACAGCCCCCCACACCTGGGGAGATTCCCCAAGACACAGCAGCCCTGAAGCCAGAACCCTCAGCAGTACCATCATCTCCACCAGGCCTTTCTGGGCCCTGGGGAGAACCAGGCTGGGCCCCGCAGGCCCCCAAGTCTCGTAGGCACTGCATTTCCCGGCCCCATCCCAACTGTTCACCCCTGGCTCACACCCCAGACCCTGCCTGAGCACAGCCAACCTTCTCCACTGATGCGTTGGATTGCAGCAACATCTTCTTAGGGAATTCCCCTCGTCTCTTTTCAGCCTCTCTGAAAGCTGACAGTTTGCCCCGGGACGTTCTTGACAGCCTGGGGCTGTCGGCGCTGACAGGCTTCTGGAAAGCAAAATGGGCCTCCCAGGTCATCAAGAGAGGGTCTCCCTACCCTGCGGGAGAACAGAGGCCAGAGGCAGATGCTGAAAGAGCATCCACCCCAGCCCCATTCAGTAGATACCCCACCCTGTGACAGGCACAGCCGGGAGTCTGACGGATCCTGGGCGTCAAGATGCTGGGGAGTCTCCATTTTAAGTTACCAGCAGCTTCTGCTCTCAGGGCAGAGACCTGAGCTTGCCTTTGGGGAAGCCCCTCCCTTGTCCTGGAAAGAGACACCCTGGCTAAAGGTGAGGATAAAGCGGTGTATGTACCCATTGCTCTAGACGATTCAAATGCAATGGTGCAGCCCTGATACTTGGAAGGTGGTATACGCGCCTTGTAGTAATGTACCGTGTGAGCATCTTACAGCAGAACTGTGTCCCAGCAGGTCATGTGGGATCCAGGTCCCAGCTGCTATGCCTGACAAGTATTGTGTGTTTGGGGAAGGTGGGGTTTTTCATTCAAGCCTCAGCTCCCAGGAATGGGGATCAGACTCCAATTGCTGAAAGAATCTGACCGGCTCCCCAAACCACACACCAGAGATTACTGTATTCACTGCTGAGGGTCTGCAGCCAAACCGTCGCTGCACGTAGGGAGAGGGGAGCTCCCCTGCTCTTTCTCCCTACTTCCCCCAAAATAGGACCATCAGCGCAGCCTGGAAGGGTTAATTCTAGGGCAGAGACCAAGGCTCAGAGGAGGGAAGTGGTTTGCCTGCCTCTGGGCCTCAGACCACCGGAGCCCAGTCTCCAGGGCAGTGAGGCTTGCGAGGGAGGTAGGCAGGCCCCGCTGGCTCCTCTCTGCCGGGCAATGTGAGCTGGGGGACCGGGAGAGTAGCCCAGGACCCGACCTCCAGTGTCGGTTTTCTGGGTTGTCTTCCCTCCAGGTCCTGGTCCTGCCCCCAAGCTTGCAGACACTGGGGTCTGGTATCAGCCATGCCCTGAGAAGGCACCGTGTCCAGGCTCAAGGCAGCAGAGCGGGTTAGATACTGCGGGCCTGATCAGGAGGGGCCCTGCCTGGGCCCACAACACTCAAGACGACTGAATTGACGGACCTAAAGGCGCTCCGGGAAAAGCTCCTCCAGGTAAGAAAACACAAAATGGCGAACTCAGGTGGCTGGAGAGTGAGGGCGGCCGCCTGGTTCGGCGCGCGGTCCCACCTGCTGGGGCGCAGGCCGGTCTGGCTCCTTGTCTCTGGGGCGTCTCATCACCGGGGGCGCTGACGTCAGGGTCCGCCTCAGGTTGGCGTTGGCCATGGTCCTGGCGCTGGGGCCCGGGGGCTGCACGGGGCTCTTGTGGGCCCATTTCTGCTCCACGCAGGGTTTGCTAGGCCTGTGGCTCTTGGCCAGGCAGTCGTCCGCTTCTTGCACCTGTGTCAGAAAGCGAGCAGCCTGAGGTGCTGCAGTGTCCCGGAGTGACTACACCACGGGGCTCTCCAGGTGCCCCAGGGGTGGCTTCCCAGAAACCCAGGACCCGTAAGGGCATCAAACCAGAGCTTGAAACCCTGAGTACCCCCCAGGTAGGAGACTGTACCCATGAGGGACTCAGTCTCCCCATCTGTAAAATGGACAGTGGTTTCCAAATATTTTTGAGGTTGTTTTTAATCTTAAGGAAGCTCCAAAGGGTAAAACAGACAAAAAGCTGAGCTGCTCTGGAGGAGGCCCCTGTAAGAGGCTCCTAGCATCTCCCCTCAACATGTTTGGAAAACTACTGGATGAGGTGATCCCGAAGGCCCCTTCCAGCTTCAATTTGCAAAGACATGGTAATTCAGAGACTATACGGGCTGCCTTGTCCCTACCATGAGCCCAGTGAGCCCAGAGCGGTAATGCGTAATAGCGATGGGGAAGGTGTGAGCCGCCTTCAAGGACAGGGTAATCTCCCAGAGAGAACAGGACTAGCACCAGCGGGCTCTGGAGTCAGACTGCCTGCATTTGGAGCTATCACTTCTTGACTGTGTGACCTTGCAAGATGCGTAACCTCTCTGTGCCTCAGTTTCCTCACCCGTCAAATGAGAATAATTATAGAAACTACCACCCACCTATGGAGCTCCCAACCTCCTCCAGAACAAGTCACCACCATCCTCTCTACTTCCCAGGGTGCCCTCTACACCACAGGTACACAGCCAAGAGAAAGGAGAGAGGAGAGTGTGTTCCTGTTGACCATACCCTCCTGGGCGTCAAGGGCAAGGGGCTCTCAGAGGCGTTGAAATTAAGGATGGGCTTGAACATGTTGACATTCCAGAAGAGGATGTCCCCGCTGTAGGAGCAGGTCCCAAGGAACTGGTTCTGGTACTTGGCCATGCTCAGGACATCCTCCGTGTGGAAAGTCTGCCAGTGGTAGCACAGGAGCACCGGCTTGGTCTTGTGGAACCTGCACACAGGCCAGAGGCAGCAGAACTGAGAGCGCAGCCTTAACTAATGCCCTCTCTCCTGGGGCAACACTGAGGCCTTCAGGCTTCTAGGAGCCGACTCAGAGGATGCTCAGGCATCGGAGCAGGCTAAAGCCCTGCCCCGTGGACCTCATTTACTAAGCACCTACTGTGTGCCCACTATAAAGGCCCTGTCCTGGGGCTTTACAGAGACTAACCTTACAAAGTCGCCCCATTCAGACATCTGAGTAAGGATTCAGGCTTAAAAAAGAGGAAACTACGGTCCTGGATAGGCCCTCTGAAGAAGAAGGGCCTTGCACGTGCTTTTTCCTTTGCCTGGAATTTTCCTTGTATCCCACGCCCTTGCTGCTTCACTGAGACCTCTCCTGCTCATTCTCAGATCCCACTCCACCCACAACATCCTAAGATGAGCCTTTTCTGACCGCCTCTGAGACTGAATCAGATTGCCATCCCCTCCCTACAGAAACTCAACAGACTTTCTCATTATAAATGAAGTTATTTGATTAGTGTCTGCCTCTGCCTAGAAGCTCCAGGAGAATGGAGGCTCCATCATTCTTGTTCATACCCATCCCCAGCACCTAGCACAAAGCCTAGAACATATTAGCCTCAAAGAGTGATGAATGAATGGTGCGATGAGCAGATGAAACATTGGACATTACCCACCACTAATTTCCTGCCTGGCATTCCAACCAGCAGCAAAGCTAGGAATGGGGGACCCATCTGAAGTAGAGATAATGGTCAGCCGCCCTCACCTACCCACACGCACCTCGCTACTCACGTGAAATAAGTGATTCTCTTACTCCACCCGGTCACATAGAACACTTTGTTCATATGGATAATCCCGCTAATCTGTTGAAGATGAAAGAACGCAGAACTCTAAGGCACCTTAAAGAAAATGGCTCCAGGCCCTGAATGTCTTCCTAATCGCACCAAAAAAGAAGTCAAAACTCTCCATGATGGTGAGAATTCCCTAGAGGTGATACCACCACCTATTTCTCAGAGTGCCCTCACGTCCCATCATCTCATTTGATGGATTTGGAGGAGGTAGATAGGGTAGGTACCCATGCCCATTTTTTAGGGGGGATAACTGGGAAACAGACAAGAGACTTGGCTTAGGTAAATAATGAGTGGTAGGACCTGGACCAGTACTCAAATCCTTGGCTTCTTGGCCAAGTGCTCCTTCTGAGTTGGTTAAAGGACTGTGTCACAGGGATTAGTTATGTGCTCAGGTCCCCAAGAGGGATGGCTGGCTTTGCTCTATGCCACATCGACAGACTGTCCCTATGACCCTGTCAGGCATTTCCCAAATAGGGGTGAGCACAGGTGGCTCTGAATCACCTGACCCCATGGCTAGAAATGCATCCAAAGCTCTCATACGTGGGGTAAGAAGTGCTAACAAACTGAAAGAGCAGGAGTAGCTAACGTTTGTAGACGTTTATTAAGGACAGACCTTGGCACCCATCTTCATTTTATGGACGAGGACACAAAGGCTCAGGGAGGCATAAAGCCAGGCTGTCTACATGCACAGCCATTCAGGGCGGCACAAAAAATAGTGCGTCCCAGGATCACAAGAGCTGTGCTGTGCTCCTCAAGAGGCCCCCTGGCCCCAGCTGACCCCAGACTGACCTCCAGTGGGTCCGGGTAGGGGAAGGTCAGCAGGCACTCGCCGGTGCTGTAGTTCCACATCTTCACAGTTCCGTCCCGCAAACCTGTGAGCAGGCACCGCTCCGACTCATCCAGGGACATGGCGGTCAGCTCCACGTACTGGTCCCCAATCACGGAGAACTCCATCAGCCTCCTGCCCGTCTCCATCTCCCACACGCTTACCACGCCGCTCAGGCAGCCGCTCACCACCTGCAGCGGAGCACACAGCGGGGCTTCTGAGAGGAGAGCGCCCCCACTCCCAAGGGCGGCCTCCACCTGCCATGGCTGGGGTGAGACTGAGAAGACAGGCATGCAGGGCCCCCCGCTGCAGGATAAGCCCCTCTTGAAAACAAGCCTTCCTCTGCTCCGTAGCACGGGGCAGGGCAAACTAGCACAGCTCTTTTAGAAGAAATCAGTTTGGTGAAATCCCCTTAAACTTAGAAATGGCATTTATCAGAATCTTTCCAGAGAAAATAGTCTCTAACTCAGAAAAGACTTTTACTGAAGCATAATTAATCATAGCGGAAAAGAACCCAGAAAATAGGAGACATATTAACTGCTCCATAAGTAGGGAAATGTTGAGAGTAAAGGATGGTCATTCTACTCAATGCACCATTTGCTGCCATCACAGCCGTTACAACGCAGCAGCAGCAGCAGGCGGGTCTATTTCAGAACAACCCTCCTGCTGAGAACATGTAGGGAAGCTGGGGGAGGGATTTTTTTTAAACCATTTGAAGATGTTGAAGATCCTGAAGGTATGCAGGATGGTGGTGCTGGAGCCAGGATGAGAGAGAAGCCCAGAGAGATGAGCTCTGGCCTCATGCGGCCAAAGGCGATCTCTGCAGCAGAGGCAGCCGGCCCTGCCTAGAGCCCATGCTAGAAAAGGGGTCCCTGTGGGACTGGGCTGAGGGCCCAGGAACCCTCTCTGTCCCCACACTTCAGAAACCACGTGCCTAAAATCTCTACTCAGGACCACGGTGCTGTCTGTGGCCCGGGCCTCCCTCCCCTCCCACAATGGACAAAGTCGAACTAGGGCTTCCCTGGAAAATGGCACCTAGGAACAGCACCCACCCTGGGAACCTCGCAGAGCAGCCCACACCTAGTGTGCCATCTCACACCCTGTGTAAAGGAGGCTGCCCGTCCAGAACTGACCTGAGGCCGTAGCCAGCGGTGCACAGGCTCAGAGAAATGAGGTGACCCGCTGACTAAGTATTGGCGCTCCCATCTCATCTCAGGCCAACCCCTCCGCAGGGCTGCTCCTCGTCCACTTCCCGCTGCCCCACGCCTCCATCAAAGCCAGGAGAGTTCCGCCCACCCCGCCGCCTGTGCTGACTGTTCCTTGGATGGGATCCGGACACAGTGGGAGGCCGGGGTCCTGCCCCATGTCGCCGGCACTCCTGCCAGCCTCACAGGCAGCTCGGGCCCACTCACCTGCTTCAAGAGCTTGCTGTAGAGGATGGCGCAGAGCGGGGTGCTGTAGGTCGTGGTCTTCTCCCCTGCCTTCCCAGGCCCCTGGGTCTCCAAGTACCCTTTTAGGATCCCAATCTGCAGGTGAGGAGAGGGGCAGCAGCTGGGTAGTCAGAAGGCTCTGCCCTCAGTGACCAGCCCGAGAGAAACTTCCCATAAACTGAGACGTCCCGACTGCACGTAGGCCTGGGCCCAGGACGGCCCCTCGGCTCCTCAGCATGGCTGCTGACACGTGCCTCTCACCCCTACCCCACAGGCCCCACTCCCCGAGATCGGGGCTCCCAAACCCTAGTGTTCCTAGAACCCCAAAGTCCAAGTCCAAGGTCCCTCCTATAACTTCTGAGAAGCATAAACCCTCAATCCAGTGTCCTCTCCTCCGGGAAGCCTTCCCTGGCTACTCAGCCCCAGGCTAGGCTAAGGATCCTTTCTCTGCGCTCCATGAAGCACCTAGCATACATCGCCATCATAACACACAGCATTTTCTACTAAACTTATGTGTTCTTCTACCCTTAGGTTCCTCAAGATGGGATAGTGTCTAATTAATGTATTCTCTGCTTCTGACAAAGAGCAGGGGGTTGATGTTTGATGACCTGCAATGAACTTTGAAGGTCTATTTAATTCAGCAAATGCTGGCAGCCAGTCCAGCACTCAGCAGAGATGAAGGAACCCACAACCTCCCTTCTCCAGAAACCTGTCATCTGGGGGAGAGCCAGCCAAGGGCACAAGGATGACGTATGTGTCCCCTGCCAGGGTGGCCAGGCCAACAGAGGGTACAAGGCCTCAGTGGGGCTACTCCTTCTCAAACACAAATGACACCCTCATCTCCCTTTCTAGACAGAACCTCCCCATCTCCTGGCTGCTGATTGTCCTGGCAGCCCCCTCAGCTCCCATTTTGTCACAGGGCCGCACCACCACCCCGGACAGTCCGCCCCTGTGCCTCTCCCTGTCTGTCTTGTCCTCCAGGGTCAGGGTCAGGACAGACCGCACGTGGGCACCAGCTAGGTCACAGCTCACAGAGGCCTTCAAGTCACGTCTCTCCTTCGGGGGGCTGCTCAGGCAGGGGCCCTGCCTGCCTGGAGCTCACAATTTGGCAGGAAAGACAGTCATGCAACTGTGACAGGACAGAGTTATAAGGGCCATGATTGAGGGGAGGCACAGGGCCAAGAGAGCTTGGAGGGGGGACTCCTAACCCAGCCGGGGGGTCAGGGTGGGCTTCCAGGAGGAAAGTCTGGAGGATGGACAGGTCAGGAAAAGAGCAGAGAGAGCAGCAGCACAGAGGGTGGCAGGCTGGGGGCCTACAAACAGTCTTCCAGGAAATCCCAAGAGACGGGAGCCTCACGGGCCAGGCCACAGGGTCTAGGAGTTTTGTCCGCCTGGCATGAAGAGCAGTCTCGGGAGGGACAGGATGTACCCCTGGGACTTCAGGCCCCGGCCACGGTGCCACCGTCTGTATACAGCACGATCCCGCCGCCCTCCTGTGTAGACTCACTGAATAGGTGCTGCAGATGAGGGTGTTGTCACTCTCGTGGAAGTAGGCGCTGGTGATGGGGCAGTTTCCCAGGGCAAACAGCTTCCCGCAGAAGGACTGGAGGCATATGTAGTCCTGCATGTCCCACACGCGGATATTCTGGGGGGCGGGACACAGGCAAAGAGGTCAAGAGTGGGTCCTCGGGGATGCGGCCAGCACCTGAGGCCTTACGGTGCTCCTGGGAGCAGGGTCAGGGGCACACAGCGCAGGCACTTCCAACGCACACCCACCGCACTAAGTGTCTGCCACGGACCACAACCCTACAACACAGACACTGTCTGAGGCTCAGAAGAGGGAACGGAGGCACGGCTCCACCCCAGCCCTCCCCAGGGCCTCTCCCCTGCTCGAGTAGCTGACGCTCAACGGCTGAGGACGAAGACCAAGCAAGGCCACATGTGCCCCTGCAGACCCTCACTGGCTCCCACCCCAGCCTCCCTCCAGTAAAGCCAGGGGGGACACAGAAAGCAGCTACCCACGGAGTTGCCAAAAAGGCCCGCCTGTCCCCAGAGTAGCCCCCTTGAGTTCATCCCAGGTTGAGCAACTGTCCCTAGGGAGGCCCCATGGAAGTCCCTCCAGGACCTCATTGCTTGGAGGCATTGGCAGTGAGCTGGAAAGGGCATGGACCTGGGGTTGACCAGACTCCAGTCCACACCCTGGCTCTGCCCATCGCTGACCGTGAGGGTTTTGGCAAGTCTGTGCCTGTCCCCCGACCACTCCAGCCTCGGCTCCTTCATCAGAGGCGAGCATGCCCGGCTCCCAGGGCTGTCGGGAGAATTCCAGACAAGAGCAAGTATGAGGATGTGTTGGGAGGGTGGTCTGGGTGAAGCAACGGCCCTGCCAACTCTCCAACTACTGAGCCCCAGAGGACACAGACTTGTCCCCTGAAGGAGGGCCCCTGGAACCACTGGCCTGTGTCCCCACACTGGCAAGAACACCCATGCAGCCCAGCAGATGGGGCAGTACCTGAACCAATAGCTGCAGAGGAGCAATGTGATGGGTCCGAGCAGGGGAGCCATGGGCATTTGAGAAAGGTCCAGTCCGGCCCTGACAGCCGGGGCAGCTGGGAAGGGGTCCCTGGGAGGGCTGGGAGGTGCAGGTGTGTGGCGGGCAGGGGTGGGAGGAGAATGGCTCACGGGGACTGGGCACCTACTATGAGCCAGGCATGATGCCGCTCTTTTACCACCAGCTCTCCTCCCAACCACTCAACAACCCATTCTATGGATGAGGAGACTGAGGCTCAGAAGCGGGAAGGGCCCTGCCCAGGACCACAAAGCAAGAAACCCGGGTGGGCTACATGGGAACCCAGCTCTGGTGGGCGGCTCAGGCCTCTACCAGGGGTGGTCAGAGACCCATGGCCCCCTCATGGTGTTCCACCTGGGGCACCTCCCTCTGGGCCTCAGGCCAGGTATGGAACCATGGGCAGGGAGGCCACACCATTCCCCCAGGTCTCAGGCTCCTGCCAAAAGTCAGCCTCTGGCTGGCCAAGCTGGATCATTAGCCCCTGGCCAGCGTCTTCCGGGGAACAGGAACTAGTGGGGGCACAGGGCCACACTCCACGAGGACGGTACCTTGTCCTTGGAGATGCTGAGGAGGATGCTGCTATTCTGGCTGTTCACAAGGATGTGTGTCACCGAGGTCTGATGCCCCTTCATCAGCCACACAGGCTTTTTTGAAAAGAAGGGGTTCCACAGGCGGATGAGGGGGTCATAGCCACCGGTCACTGGAGTCAAAAAATGGGTATCAGCCACGGGGGGCCTACACTGGGACCTTCTCCTGGGGCCAGGCCTCAGACCTCAGCCAGGCTTGGCAGATGGGGGGTGTCACAGCAATCCCTCCCTCTGCCCCTCCCACACCACCCCCTCCACCATGCCACGCAGAGCCTGTGTCACCACAGCCCCCAGGCACCCATGAGAGGGCACCAGAGCAGCAGGAGAGGGGGCCAGACGCTGCAGGGCCTCCTCTTCAGCTCTGATGGTCCCCACGTCCCAGCAGTCCTGACATCAGTCCTGCTGGGCCAGCCGCTTCCGTGCGACACGGAGATTACTTACCCAGGAAGTTCTTGTCTGGACAGTAATCAAAGCAAAGAATCCCTCTTCTTAAGTTCAGCACTGAAAACCTACAATAGCAGAGTGGGGAGGCTGAGGGCTGGGAGCCACGGCCTCAGGGGAGCCTCTCGGCCCGGGGAGGGGAGAAGCTGACCCGGGAGGGAGGCCAGGGAGAAGTCACTACCCTCCACCAGGGAGAAAAGCAGCTCCAGAAACCCTTCCCTAGGGCTCACCCTGCAGCCAAGTCAGGGCCGAGCCCCGCAGCAGAGCAGCAACAGCAGCCTCAGCCCAAAGCCAGCAGCTCGTGGAGGAGGCGCCCACCTCTCGCCTGCAGGTGAAAGTAGCCCCCAAACAGGGGCAACTCCTCACAGGTGTAACGCATCTGCCTCATTCCAAGGGCAAACTTACCTTGATCTTCACCTCACCCATACTGGGACAGATGTCCCAACCCATGACACAAATCAACAAAAGGGATGGGGTTCCAAGGGCCAGGGGGAAGGGACGAAAGCTCCTGGGTGTGTGCCCCTGCTCCGTGCTGGTCCCTGTGCTGGGAGCTGTCTCCTGCATCACCTGGACCCCTCCCACAACCCTGAAGTCCTGTGCCACGATGAGGACACAGAAAGAAGTTAAGGAGCTGGCCCGAGGTCACATGGCTGGCAAGGTAGGGGTCAGGATTCAGACCCAGGGTGGGCGTGGCAGGGAGAGGCAGGCAGCTCAGCAACCGGTGCTCCAGGAAAGGAAGAGGTGTGGCAGGGCTGGGTGGGGCTGGGAGGGCCAGGGTGACCCAGGCAGGGGTTCTGGAAGGTCAGGTCCAGCGACCCTCACAGGTCCAAGAGTCCTGGAAGCTCTGCGCCCTTGCACATGCTGTTCCCTCTTATCCACACATCCTGCCCTGCCAGCTCCTTCTGCTCAAACTCTCTCTCTCTTCAAAACTCAACTTGAAGGCCCCCATTGCAGGGCACCCCAGCCCTCTAACACAGCATGCCCCCGACTGAACTTGCCCTTGCACTGGCTCCTCTGCCACTCCCCAGGGGCCTAAGCCAGGGACCTGGGTGTCATCCTGGAGGCCCCCTCTCCTGCACTCTCATCGTCCCGCTGGGCCCCAAATCCTCTTTGCCCACATCGCACCACAGCCTTGACCTCTGCTTAGTTCAGGCCCCTTCATCTCTGTGTCAGCCTCCCAGCGGGAATCTTAACCTCCAGTCTTGATCCCTCTCCAATCTGCTCTCCACTCCACAGCCAGAAGGATCCCTCTAAAAACCAAAACTTCAGGAAGAACATATTGAATACACGTATTTCATTTATTGTCCAACCAGATACATCTCCCTCCATGCATATAAGTGCAGAGAAGTATTCTGGAAGAATAGTCACAAAAACATTACTAGAAATTATTTCAGGCTGATTCACTCACTTATTCAACAAATATTTACTGGCCCCTACGCCCTTCCAGGATGACCAGAGGCGTAGATATAATGCCTCTGCCTTCACAGAGCTTTCCTTCTAGACCGAAGCAGCATGAGCAAGTGAAGGAACAGAGAGATGGGAGATGGACATTTACAATCATGGCCAGGCCTGCAGGGAAATAAACAGGTGGCTTTAACAGGATAGCTGAAGGAGACCAGGTCTGCAGATGGCAGAAGGGACCAGAAGGTCAGAGGGGACACAGCAAAGGCCATAGCAAGCAGTTCAGGTGGGAGATGATGGTGGCTTCAACTAGGTGGTGGTGGCAGAAGTGAGAAGAGGGGGAGGCGGGGGAGATGCTGTGGGTCGGTCTGCACACTCAGTATGGCCCCCTCCACTCCCACCCCAGCTCCTCCGTCAGATTCACTGCTGGCTCCAACCACTTGAGGAACTCATCCCAGGCCGGCTGCCAGGAAGCCAGACCCTGAGGCCCACACTGCATTGGAGGCAGAGTTTGGGTTGGCAGGGCCAGACCCCACCTGCGGAGGCCATGCCCCAAGAGGTCATGCCAGGAACAGGAGACCAGCAAGCGGTCAGTGGTGCCACCTGCCGGCCAGCGTGTGTACTGCATTCAGACAAGAAGGAAGGGGTGTACGCGCGCCATGTGTGTAAATACATTCTCCCACCCACCCCTAGACTAGATCTCGAATCCCTCCATCTCCACTGGCTGACTCCAGGTCACCACTGCATGCAGCCCGAATTACCACAGTGGCATCCACACTGGTGTCCCCATCGCTACTCCTGCCCACGTACATTCTGCTTGCAACAGAGCAGCCAGGGTGATGCTCCTGCACATCAGATCTCGCAGTTCCTCTGCTCAAAACCATCCTAGAACCTTGTTTATATCTTATTTCAAACAATTGTAAAAAGACATTTTTGAGACATTTGGGGAAAGATTAACTTGGACTAGGTACTAGTGATATTAAATCATTATACTACTTTCTCTACTTTTGTGTGTGTTCGAAATTGTTCATAGTAAAAATGTTTAAAAAACAAAAGCAAACAAAAAACAAGAGCATACCAGGCAGAGAAGAGCAATGCAAAGGCCCTGGGGCAGGAGCATGCCTGAACCACAAGAGGCCAGTGTGGCTGGAGAGGGAAGGTAGAAGAGGTGACATCAGGAAGGCAGCAGGGCCAGACCAGAGAGGCCCCCACGGCCATGGTAAGGTGATCCCCCTGACATCCTGCCACTGAGACCCAAGGAAACCAGAAGCTGAATGAAACACGTATTGCAGACATGAGGTAATACTACCACCAAAGCAGAGATGAACTTCAGCAAACCAGCTCCAAGCAAGATCCTGCCACACTGCCCACTCAAAGCATGGAAGCCAAGACAAAGTTCCCCACCACCTCAGACATTCTCCAGGGCCCCTCCTCCAACCTGCAGTGAGTTCCTGGATGTGGTAGGAAGGTGCAGAGTCCTCTTTGGTTAACAAGACACTGGGCTTACAATGAGGCCTGGGACACAACCCCAGCTCAAACATCTGCTCCAGGACAGTCACTTCCCCTCCCTCGGCCTCAAGTTTCCCATCTGTAAAGTGAGGAGTTGGACTAAATTAGCCCTACCATCCCAGGAGTGCACTGACCTCTGGGACAGACAGAGACGGGGCCTAAATGGCCCTCAGTCTCCCCCCTGGGCCTCGCCCAGCTGCTCCCCCAACACAGGCCTCCAATCTCCTGCAGTTCCCACAAGAAGATGTGCCTGAGGCTGCAGCTCACTATTTAGCTGCTCAAGAGCAAAGTGTCACAGACCCAAAGGCTCCAGAGGGTAAAAGCCCGAGCAGGAGGAAACGGCAGAGGCGAGAGGAAAAAGTCCTTAGGAGGAAATACCTACCGTAAAGTGCACAGTGACTGTCTCCTAACCTGACGGAAGTGGGACTTTCCATAACAGAGAGTGACAATGTGGGTTGGATAACGGAAGGGGGGGCCACAGGATTCCAGCTTTATTTATAATGTTTTAATTTTTTACAGTGACAATGTATGCACGTATACTCGTGTGACTAACAGCTGATTCCAAAAAAAAAAGGAAAAAATTCACACTGGGGTATAGGAATCCAGACTGAAGGAAATAGATTAGAACCGTCTGCAAAGAATAAATGCACCCAATTATTGAACACATACCACGTACACATTCATTCGCATAATCCTTGAGGGAAGTGAAATAAGTGCATTATCACCCCCTTTTACAGATGAGGAAACTGAGGCTCACAGAGGTGAAGGAACTTGCATTCATTCCTTCCTTCAGAAAATAGTTTTTGACTACCCACTTCCACTATGTCGCGGCTTCTATGCTGAGTTTTGCAGATAAATTGGTGGATAAAAGAGGTCTATTGTATTTTTGCTGCTGAAGGCAATGCCAGAATGATGATTAAAACTGACTGCAGAGCCCACGTTCTAACCACCACACTCCACTGCCGGCCCAGAGGACATGCAGTGCTTCCTCGGACCAGGTGCGATCCGCAGGACACTGTACTGCCCGCAGGAGATGCCACTATCCTGGGGGCGGGCCTACCCTCAGCAGAGATGGCCACACGTGGCTGAAGTGAAGCCAGCTCCCCCGAGGCTCTGTCACCACCCAGCCCCTGCCCAGCCCCCCCACCTCAGTCTGGAAAGAGATGCTCCTTACTTGGGGTTCTCATGGGCTTTGGATGGCAATATTGTCAGCACCAGAGAGGACTTCTCAATGGCCGAGCAGGAGGCCACCAGGTTCAGCTGGGGGATGAACTTGACCTGTTGACACCAGTTGGGATGGAGAACCTGGGAAGAGAGTGGTGGTGGTGGGAGACGCAATGCAAGGACAGCCTTCCAGGCCTGGCCCCCAGAACAGGGCAAGTGTTGGGGGCTGACAGGGCCCAGAGATCACCGAGTCTAATGCCTTTCTTGTGATTACAGCTCTGACAAAGTGATATAGCCCCGCAGTCCTAGCCCAGGTCCTGTGACCTGGGGTGTGTGGCCATCACTTGTCAGTGTAAAGGCTTAGAAGTGCTCAAGCCTGCTGTGTCATGAACTCTTGTTTATAAGTTGGAGGACAGGCGGGATCAGGCCCAGACTAGTACTGTCACCCCAGCCAAGGGAAGGAAGGATGGATTCGCATCCACCTCATCCACAGTCCCTGTGTCCACGGGGGCCCCAGCATGGAGGAGCCTGTGCCCCCCGGGCCCACTGCGCCCTCCATGTTTGTCAGGTGGTGGCCTGCTCCCAGGAGCCTGGAGTGCATGAGAATGTTACCTGCTGCGACTTGGGCCACAAAAGGCTGACACTCACAAGTCAAGGGGGTGGCCTGGCTGGATGGGCTCTGAATTCTTGAGCTCCGGCTCTGTGGTCTAGCCCAGGGCTTGGCCTCCCAATCCTGAGCTTTTCCTCTCAGGGACAAGAGTGGAGGAGATGGGGTGGGGGGGTGGTCAGGCTCTGAGCCAGGTTTCACATGCATTGTCTCACTCAGTGTCTGCCACGGTAATGGCAGAATCCGAGACACTGAAGGGAAACGGGGACACTTAGCAACTTGGAGGGAAAACCACGCCCAAGATAAGATGCCCATAGAATTTGGAAATAGAAGGAGAGCTACGGTGTGACTCTTCCTGAGAGGGTCCTGGGGCCTGAATGACCCAACCTGCTCAAAAATAAGCATTTAAGAGCCTTGGACCACTCAACTCGGACTGCCCTGAGTGTCAGATTCACTCATTCATTCATTCATTTGTTCAACAAATGTCCTGGGAGCCCACTAAGGCCCAGGTGCTGTTTCAGGTACTAGAGACAGAACAGAGAACACAACACGCTAAGAGCCTGTCCTCAAGGAGCTGTCAGTCTCCTGAATGTGATAGGACAGAAACCAGTGGATGGACAATACAAAGTTGGGAGGTGGTAAGCTGTGATACTGTGATTTATAATAAGAAACATATTTGGTCTTCATCCTCATTTCTGGCACAGAACTCCTAAAACTCTTGGGATTGCCTAAGTGATAAGATCAATAAAGGTATCTTGATATTCCTAACAAGCCCCTTTCAACCACACCTGAGTTTATGTTAATGAGGTGACTTTTGGAAAGCCCCTAAGGATGGGGGCTGGTTGCCAGTGGAGCCAACCATGTGATTAGAGGGTTGGAACTCCCTGACCTCTGGGGAGAGGAGAGGGGCTGGAGGTTGAATCCACCACCAAAGGCCAATGATTTAATCAATTATGCCTATATAACAGAGCCTCCATAAAAACCCAAAAGGATGGGGTTCAGAGAGCTTCTGGGTTGGTGGACCCCTGGAGATTGGGGAAGAGTGGTGCCCTTAGAGAGAGCATGGAAACTCCAGGCCCCTTCCCACATACCTTGCCCTATACATTTCTTCCATCTATCTGTTCCTGAGTTATATCCTTTTATAATAAACCTGTAATCTAGTAAGTAAAATGTTTTTCTGAGTTCTGTGAGCTGTTCTAGCAAATTAATCGACCCCAAAGAGGGGGTCAGAGGAACCTCTGATTTATAGCCAGTCGGTCAGATGCACAGGTGATAACCTGGACTTGTGATTGGCATCTGAAATGAAGGGCAGTCTTGTGGGACTCAGCCCTTAACCTGTGGAATCTGATGCTGTCTCTGGGTAGACAGCGTCAGAACTGAGTTGAATTGTAGGACACCCAGCTGATGTCAGACAATTGCTTGGTGGTGTGAAAGAAAAAACACACATTGTCATTGGTGTCAGATCCTATAAGTGCTGCAGGATGAAGGCATTAAGGAGGCAGAGGAGGCAGCAGGGCTGTTCCAGGCTGGTTGGCTATGGACCTGAAGGAAGCAGGAAGGGGGGCATACAGGTATCTAGGGAAGAGCAGGGCAGCCTGAAGGACCAGCATGTGTCAAGGCCCTGAGGTGGAAAGGGGCTTTGTGTGTTAAGGGACCAGCAAGGCTGCCTGCATCTCTGCGGCAGAGGAAATAAGGAGAAGAAAGGTAGAAAGCAAGACCGGGAACAAGCCGGCGGCCAGGTGACCTCGTGTCCTGAGGGTCACTGTAAGCACCTGAAATTTTGTTCCAAACATGATGAGGAGCTCCTGGGGGTTTTGAGCAAAGGAGTGACATGACTGTATCTGTATCTGACCATTCCTCTGGCTGCTGAACGGAGAAAGGAAGCGGGGAAACAGCTAGAAGGCACAGCAGCCATCCCAGAAAGAGGTGGTGTCTGCCAGGACCAGCGCTGAGCAGTGAAGGTGGAGAGAGAGACGAGAGACGTGGCCCCGTCTGGGATGCATACGAGTTCTGCAGAGAGAGCCAACAGGGTGCCACAGCTGCCTCGACCCCGTTCCCAGAGGCCAAGCCCCAAGGCCTAAGACTGAACCCAGGTGGCAAGCCCACTCTCTGCATGTATTTTTGAGTGGTGCATGTGTACAGACAGTTACCATGGCAACAGGCCACGGAAAGATACGACTTACCTTCAGTCGGTAACTTCTGTACAAAGGGGACTTCTCGTTTAAGAGCTTCTGCATGGAAACGCTGATCCAGTGATCTGATATGAGAGAAAACCAAGGTCCATGTCACCAGCTCCCCCCTTTGCCAGACGAGCAAAATCTCAGAAGACACCCTGAGTTGGTTGGCAACTCCCATGCGTATTCCATTCAAATGCACATTGGAGCTTATGTCCTGGCGAGGTCAGTGGGATGAACTCAACACCCAGAACACAGACCCGGGCAGATTAACACTGCTGCCCAGAGCCCCTGCCAGCTCGTGGCAGAGCTGGAACCAGATTTCGGGGCTCTTCCCTCTCCCCAGCTGCTGCAATCTAGACCAGCTGATGCCCCGTTAGGGAGATCCAGCAGAGCCAAGTGGAGAACGAATTGAGATCCTAGGCTCTGTTCATTCTGAAAATAATCATTTGGGAATTTGCCATCACACTTCAAACTACACATCCCTCTTGTGCACCAAACACTCAGTCCAGGAAGGAGAAGTTGCAGGCACGCGTCATAAAGCAAGTATGTCTGGAGAACTGCGCTGAGCTCAGCCTGGCCACAGCCCTGGCCTCCTGGGGCTGAGTCTCCTGGCTGCGGAACTGCCTGCGGCAGGCAGCTGAGGGGCCTCCAGGGAAAGCACTAGCAGGCTCCTTGTGCAAGTGAACGGACGGAGGCAGCAGTGACAGGAACGAGCATGGGCCTGCCCTCAGAGGGGGTTAAGGAAGCAGGTCGGAGGGGCCGGGACAGTCTGGGCTCCAGCCTGAGGGACACTCCCAGGTGAAATGGAGACCAGAGAGGAGCTGATCTGGGGGCTTGTGTCAAGCATCTTACTGCCACAGGGTCCCCAGCCCCATCTTGAAAGGGCAGGAGGAAGCTTGAGAAGGAAGTCCCAGGAGGTGGAGTGTTGCTCAAGGTGGCTAAAGTGGGGCGGCTCTGCTGAGTTAGACTGCTCTGTGAGCCCGTTGGCCTGCCTGCCGCTCCCACTGGACTGGGAGAGCTGGGAGGGCAGGGGGAACAGTCACCAGCACTTACTGTGTGCCTCACACTGCACACTCTCCTTCCTTATAGCAAAGCCGGGAATTGAGTAGGCTCATCCCTATCTGAATAAGGGAACTGAGGCACAGAGAGGTTAAGCAACTGGCTCCAGGTCACACAGAGCTGGTCTGTTCAACTCCTCCCAAGTCAACATCCCACCTTGTCTTCATGTTTATCCCCGGCCTTCAGTCAGCATGCAGTTTCGGAAGGACTCCCATCCAACACTCCAGCTTCATCTGCCCCTGCTCCGATTTCTGGTCCACCACTTAGCTCAAAGACCACCACAACCACCCGTGCCAATCCCCAGGGTGGCACAGAGCGACCAGGGTGGGCCGGGTCAGGGCAGGGCACGCAGCAGGGGCAGAGGCTGATGAGGCAAGGACAAAGCAGGGAGCCAGCCCACCGCTGCATCCAGGGCAGGATGCATTTTCTGTGCAGCCAGTGGGGGATGCTGCCCCAACAAGTTTGGCAGGAGGTGTCACCGAGGCCTGGGAGCCCCTGGAAAGTGTCCATCTCAGAAACCCTGACTGGACGCCCAAGGAGATCTTCTGGTGTCCTGGATGGAGGGGGAGTCAGTGTCCTTGTGGGCTGGGGCGCCTGGTGGCCTGGGCCTCCTCCAGATGGATGTGGAGGGAGCAGCCTGGAGGCCAGACACTGTGCATCAAAGGCTCGACCCTGGACAAGGTCCAGTTCAGATGTGTCCCCAACTGCCACAGGCCCAGGGGCCTTGGGATCTAGCGCTCCTTGGAAGAGCGGCCCCAAACAGCATCCTTCAGCATGTAGTCAGTTTGGGGGACAGCCCAGCAGGTGGTTAGAGTGCAGACTCTGGGGCAGACTGCTGCCTCAGACCTCAGCCGCCATGTACACACTGTAGGGCCTGTGCAAGGTTTACCCCCTAACCCTCTGCTCCTCCTCTCCTAATGGGCTCTGACAACAGCAGTCGGGGGGGACTGTACGGGGTGATACACCCAAAGCCTCAAAACATGAGTGCTCAGTAAATGTCACCGTGCTTACTTACGTTCATGTGGAGCCAGGCTTTCCTCCGGGCCCCACCGAGCCCACCTTCAGGGCAGCCTCTCCGCCCTCCCCCACCACCCAAAGGCAGCTCAGAGCTAAGGAGAGCAGAACTGTCCTCACAACCATGGAAGAAGTGAGCACTATCAACCCAAAACCCAGAGAGGCTGAGTAACTTCCCCAGGGTCACACAGCTGGCACAGGTTCATCTTCCCGGGATGAGAAGGGTCTTGAAGCCCCCCAGCCCTCAGCCCTCACCTGCACAACCTCCCACCTTCAGAGACAGCCCCTCTCCTCAGCCCCTCCCTGTCTCCTGCTGTCACCCCATCACCGCTGTCTCCCACAGGCCGCTCTGAGCTGCGTGCGCACGTGCACTGCTGCCTGAGCTTCTGAAGGAGCCAGGCTTCCCTGCGGCTCTGAGCAGGGAGGCAGAGAGAGGGAAGAGTGCCTCAGGGCAGGGCCATCTCGACCCCATTCCCCAGCATCGTAGCTACCCCATTTGGAGGCCCTGGGGAGGATCTGAGGGTTGAACAGCCCGTTGGTCACATTGTCGGAGGTGAAGACGATGACGTTGCCTTTGGTATCCCCGTAGCAGAACACACCTCTGTGATAGTCAGACCTGGGGAAAGATGGAGATGAAGAGGCCATGGAGCCAGCTGGGCACACCCAGCTGCAGTCCTCCACCCACTCCCAGGCCTCTGACGGCCTTCCTCCACCCTGGGAGCGACTTCCAGTCTTGCCCTCGACAGCTGACAAACATGGGCGCAGCTGCCCAGATCCAGACCATTGGAGAACCAGGTCCAAAAGGAATCAGCATTTTTTTAAAACCAAAATAAATGAAACTCTGGTCCTCCAGCTGCTCTTTGTCAAGTCACCCCTACCGATGGACCGTGACATTCCCAGAGTCCTCAGCCACAGCAGGACAAGCCCCTGCCAGGGTCTGATGGCTGACTTCGTGGGAGAAGGAGAGGAAGAGGAGCTGACGACAACTCTGAGGTCTGAGTGACCGTGAAAGGTGACCCCGAGAGGGAAGCAGTTTGGGGGGAAGAGGATACAGGCACAGGGTGGGAATCTTTCCAGGGGTGTTTCCTGAGAGGCTCTCTGGGGGTCCCAACCCCACAGAATGATGTGGCTGCTGCCAAGACCCTGCACCAATCTCCCACAAGACTCACCAGTAGTCCATGACCAGGACACAGCTGTCCAGATCAATGAAGGTGAAGGCCCGGACACATTTATGGTTACTAATGTCAAAGAACTCTGGGGAAGAGACAGAGCGGGAGGCAGGCATGGAACCCAAATCCACGTCCCCGGCCTTGTGGTCTCTGGTGAGGACGAGCAGCCTCTCTGCTCACCACCCCGCAGTATTCCCAGAGGACTCTGATCCACACTCATAGTCGGCTCAGCGACAGATCTCTCTAACGGCAAGTGCCTGGCTTCCAACGGCTGAGAGCAGGCCTGTGGAGCCACCAGGGACTCACCTATCTTCTGGTCAGTAGATGCAATCGCCACCAGGTTCATGTTGTGGAGACACACCATGTCGATGACCCACATCTGCTGGTTGTGGAGCTGCTGGCACTGGTTAAGCTGGCCGGAGGAAGAGCAGAGGGGACGCACGCTGGGGAGGCTTGCCCAGGAGAGCACACCAGGAGCCCTCTCGTGCCTCCCGAGGCCCTGGAGCCAGGCTTAGACCCGAGCCCAGTGCAACCACCAACAACTAATGATGGGGCCTTGGAAAAACTCCCTAACCTCTCTCTCAGTTTCCACAGCTGCATAATGGGCTTAAAAACATCCATCCTCACAATCCCTTCCTAGAAGAGTTTGACGAGCTCATCAAAGTTTTAAATGTGCATCGTTTATGATTCCAAGATCCATTTCCAAGCTGCATCTATGGCTGTGTTCTCATGTTCTCACAGAGAAGTATATGCATGGGTGGACACAGCCACATAGCTATGACAGCAACAGGCCAGAGACCACCTGGAAAGGACGGCTTATATAAATCCACACCAGGGGACACCACCCACACATTAAGAACAAGGGAGCCATGTACGTACCAATAAAGAATAGTTGCTAAGATCTATTATTAAGTGAAAAAGCAAGGTGAAAAGCAGTATTATAACGTGCTACTAACTGCATATTTAAAAGAAAGGGGGGTCTATACATACAGGCTATCCATGGAAGAGTGCCCCACAACTGGCCACAGCAGTTGCCTCCAGGGAGAGGAATTAGGGGCTGGGAGAGGGAGAGCGACTTCCCACCGTCTGCCCCTCTGTGTGCCTGAATCTCTTCCACCTGGTTTTACCAAGATACAGTTGACATATAACATTGCACTCGTTTTGTTTATTTTGTCTGAACCTTGTTTCCCATCTGCCAGTGTCACCTGGTCAAAGGGGCTCATTAACAAGAAACCGTCCTGCCAGGTTGTGAGACATGAATGGAATCACAAAAGATAGAGGCCTGGGGGCTGCCAGCACTTGGTAGGAGCTCAGCACGCTCGGGGCCCATCCATGTTCTGGAGCCGCCTCATGTGACACTCATGCAGACACAATGTGGGCTGGCACTCCGGGCAGGGACACCATGAGCAAAGGCACGTCAGCAGAAATGAGCTGTGTCCAAGGAAGAGAGGAGGCCAACTGGATGGGCTTGGGTGGAGAGGATGGGACGTGAGTTAGGGGAGGCTGCCAAGGAACTTGTATTTACCCCCTGAACAATGCTACGGGCCCTGAACTGAAGAGAGCAGAGAGGGTACAATCTGAGACAGAAGGGAGGGGGCATTTTAGGTAGTTCCTCTAGGTGGGTATTCAGAAGGGACAGCGAAGGCAGGGGCAGGAAGCGGACAGTGCTGTCAGAACTCAGAGCACCAAGAGCAGAGGGGCCTGCGCTAACGGCTGGGGCAGCGACAACAACGGACCAGGGCCCCCCTGAGGCCCCCTCTCTTGCCCAGGGCTGGAGTCTAAGCCACACACAATGGAGGTGGTGGCAATGCCCATCACCCCCGTGTTCAGATGAGACACTGAGAGCCCTAGGGAGTCTCAGTGCCCTGCCCAAGGTTGTGCAGCTGGCGAGTGAAACCCAGGCCCCACCCCAAACTCTGGGGCTTTCCGTCAGCATGCCCTGGGTGTGCAGTGGGTGCTCACGGATGCTGCTTGGCGGCTTCCTCTTGCCAACATCTACTTGCCAAATTAGCCCCAGAAGGAAGGATGCCCAGGTCTGCTGGGCCTTCTAGGGGAGCCTTCCTCTGTCCTCGGCCCTCCGGGCTTTGGCCCTTGAGGGCCACTGAGGTGACGACGTAGCAGCCACCACCAAGAGCTCAGGCTATAATGTGGCCCCCACCCCAATAAACACAGAAAAAGAGAGTGGAGTGTGCCAGAAACCCCAGCCTCAGGAACAAGAGTGTGCCTCCTCCTCGATCCTGACCTGCCAAGTGCATCCAGGAGAGTCACTGGACCTCCACAGACCTGTTCCCTCCTAGGCAACTGGGGTGGAGGGGACTATCCAGAACTGTCCTGCCCCAAGGGACGATCCCCGAATCAACACGAAACACTGTGCAATCATATAGGCTCATGAAAGCCTTCACGCTGCTGGCGGCATTCTCAGTAAGCCTCTCTTCTCCAGAGAGCTGGCCCTCCTCTTTCGCTGGAGGATTCTGGACTGGCCTGGCAACACCAAGCACACCACGGCTTGTTCTCAGTGTTTTATCACTTACTGCGCTTGGCCGGGAGCTGACAGCACAAAGACAATGATGATGTCAGCTTCCGCTTATCGGGTGCCTGCCATGTGCCTTGCCCTGCTCCAAACACCATACATGCATTATATCATTAAAGCCTCTTGCCAGCCCTGTAAGGGGGTACTATTCCTAACCCCATTTGACAGATGAGGAAACTGAGCCACAGACAGCTCTACAGTAACTTGTCCAAGGTCACAGAGCTGGGAGGTGGTGCAGTCAGGCTCCAGAGCCCACGCTCACAGCCACTGGGATATCCTGCCTGGTCCAGGCAAAGGATCTGAATCAGCCAAACTTGGTGACGGAGTGGGTATGACAGGGAAAGGAAAGGAGGCTGCTGTCCAGCACGGGAACCATGGTGGATGATGATGCCATTCACTAAGACGGGGGCACAGGAGAAGTAAGCCTGGTGGCAGGGAGGGCTACAGTGACATTCTGTTTGGACAAACCAGGTGTGAGGCGTCTGTTGGACATCCAAGCGGGATGGACATCCAGGTGGAATCCCACTTACAGAAGAGAGGGGCCGGCCCCGTGGCATAGCAGTTAAGTGCACGTGCTCTGCTCCTGGCAGCCCGGGTTCGGATCCCGGGCGCACACGGATGCACCGCTTGTCAGGCCATGCAGTGGCGGTGTCCCATATAAAGTAGAGGAAGATGGGCACAGATGTTAGCCCAGGGCCAGTCTCCCTCAGCAGAAAGAGGAGGATTGGCATGGATGTTAGCTCAGGGCTGATCTTCCTCACAAAAAAAAAAAAGAAGAGAAACGTGAGGCCCACGGTCCCATGGCGAAGCCAGAACCTGGACCCAGAAGCTATGACGGCAAGTGTGGGCTGCTTAGACCAGGAACCCAGAGAGGAGACTGCTCTGGGTCCAGTGGGCAAAGGCAGAGGCTCTCCGACGAGCCTGTGTGGGCGCCACTCACCTTAAAGGAACTGATCGGCGCGAAGGACTCAGACCAGGACTGCAGGACCCCGTCCTTGGTGACAGTCAGGAAATGCCCGATCTTCTTGAACCGCTGGATTAAAAACTCTACTTTCACAATCTCACACCCGTGACTCCTGTGGAAGGTAATAAGAGAGAGAAGAGCCCAACAAAAACAGAACAAAGAGCACAGAGGAAGAAGGACACAGCACAAGAGGAGCTTCACCCACATGTATGCACACGTGTGCACAGGCACACCACTGAGGATCTCTAGCAGGCTCCGTGAGACGCGGACTCTGCCCCTCCTCCGAGCAGACTGCTACCATTACCCACAGCGGCCCAAAGAAAAGGAGACCCAAGCTGCACAGGCACACCACTGAGGATCTCTAGCAGGCTCCGTGAGACGCGGACTCTGCCCCTCCTCCGAGCAGACTGCTACCATTACCCACAGCGGCCCAAAGAAAAGGAGACCCAAGCCGATCTGAGACAGGGCTCCAAGAGCAGTAAGCTTATCCCGTGAAACAGCCAGTCAGCTTCTTCCTGACAGGATGGGTCAGAGGAGACGAGAACAGAGGGCTTTGACAAACCTTCTTTTATGGGAAAAACGACCCACAGAAGGTGAGTGGAAGGGGGATTTTAACTGAAAACTGTAAAATAACACTGTTTCCAGCAACTACTGTGGTGCTCCAGGTAAAGAGGGGAATAAGGCCCAAGAATGAGATAAAAGTGGACAAGGGGACAGTGAGAAATCAAAGCCCCGTGCACCCAACTCTGCATCGCCAAGGACACGCACTGAGCCCAGCAAACAGCTCCTGGGCCGGCCTGGCCTCGCAGGAAGCCGTGTACAGCCTTCTCAGCTTCAGTGGTACCTTGCAGTGGCTTCTTTCCTGCCCCAAAGTTGGCTAAGCCAGCTATCTGGCTATTAAAGGGCACCACCATCGTGACTTCCCAACACGTCACAGCACACACTGTCCCACCTGATGTGCCCAAACCTCTGGGCCCAGCAGGGCAGGTAATGTTACCTCACCTCACAGGGACCCAGGGGAGAGCCATTTGCCTTGAGTTATGTCCTGGTTACCAGCAGAGCTGGAACTGGACCCAGGCAGCTTGGTCCCTACTCCAGCCAAAGCCCTTTCCCAATGATATGACTGGTGGCTTAAGGATAACCCAGTCACTGTGGAATTCTACTGCGTTACAATCTCTGCAGAAGAGAGGGGTAATCGTGCATCTGGACATGCTGTCCTGTCCCTCCTGCCCTTGGCCCACAGCTCTGTCCAGACCGTGATGAATATTCTCAGTCACCCTCTACTTGTCACTTCCAATTCTACCTCCTCTGTTAGGACCTAGAGATGGTAAGGAATAGACACGGCAGGTGAGAGCTACGAACAGTGAAGAGAGCCCTAGGGAAATGCTGTCTCGTGAGGTCTTGGTTTCCTCATATGCACAATGACAGCACCTCCCCTCCTAGGACTGTGGTGGGATCAAGGGGGTGGTTGTTGGTGAGCTCGGCCCAGGCTCAGTAGAGGTGAGCCAACCTTTAAATGTTACCCTCTCAGGCAGGTAATTAAATATCATTTCTGGGCCGGCCCCGTGGCTTAGCGGTTGGGTGCGCACGCTGCGCTGCTGGCGGCCCGGGTTCGGATCCCAGGTGCGCACCGACGCACCGCTTCTCCAGCCATGCTGAGGCCGCGTCCCACATACAGCAACTAGCAGGATGTGCAACTATGACATACAACTATCTACTGGGGCTTTGGGGGGGAAAAAAAAAGGAGGAGGATTGGCAAGAGATGTTAGCTCAGAGCCGGTCTTCCTCAGCAAAAAGAGGAGGAGTAGCACGGATGTTAGCTCAGGGCTGATCTTCCTCACAAAAAAAAAAAAAAAAAAGAATAAGTAAATAAATAAATAAATACCATTTCTTTGGTAGTTTCTCTGCCAAGCTGGAAATGCTCTCCAGGTCTGTAAGTTGAGTAAATAAATAAGAGAAAATAGGGGCAAGCTTCTTGACAATTTTGGTTCAGGCCTTTTAAGCACCTTGGGAACCTAAAATGTCCCAAGGAATAGAAAGACCAATGAAGGCTTGACTACATCAAGCAAAGTTTTCATGTCAAAATTTATGGTTATAAACTCTTTCATCATTCATAATTATTGGCGAGTCCTCAATTAAATCTTGACCAAAATTTTTTTAAAAGTTCCCCTTTTGTGGTTTTCATTAAACCATCTTCTCTGTTAAACTCCAGGTTGCTTGCAGGCAGAGCCTGCCTTCTAGTTTGTGGTCTTCCCTGTGGCCTGCTTTAGGTATGGTCCCCTGAGGACAGACCCACCCACAGCCCCTCCTAACCAGGCCACAGATGCAGGTCACCACACGTTGGACCGGATGACCCAGCTCCCAGTCCCAGCCGTCTGCACCTGGCAGTTGGTGCTCCAACCCAAGGTGGCCTCCAGGAAGCAAGCCAGTGGCCTATGGGCAGCCCAGCTCCAGAGGCCTGGGTCAGTGGGCCGGATGCACTGGAGTGCTCCTCACTCTTGGGGAGTTTGTAGGGGTGGGGGCAGACAGGGCCATGGCACAGAGATAGGACAAGGCAAAGGTCCAAAGGGCACAGTGGGGAGCAGCCACAAGGAGGAGGGAGCTGGTAGGGTCAGGCAGAGGTTAAGGCAGGGACAGAGCCGCGTGCTCCAGGAAAGACAGAGCGGCTGCTCCCAGGGCCTGGTGCAGCTCGAGAAGCAGTTCCTGTGATGGCTCTTCCTCCCTGTCACCTCAGAGGAGAGCCCTATCCATACTACGTGAGCCATCTGTGCCCTGGAGATGAAACCGCCAGACCCACTCAGCACCAGCCAGAGGAGGAGGCAGAGGAGCAGTGTGTATGCTGTGGATAGGGACTGGGAGGGTCTAACAGGGCGACCCCACCACTTTCGTCTGACCTCTCCAAGCCTCAGTTTCCTTGTCTGTAAAATGGGACACATCACCTACCTTATGGCTCAGCCTGCCTACAGGGTTGTGAGGCTGAAACGATCTAAAGCACATCAGGCACCAGGCCCAATGCCAGACCCGTGGCAGGCCCCAACAAGGAGTGGCTCAGGGATTCAGGAAAGGGCACTCGGTGCAGGGCCAGACCCAGCCTCGTTCGGATACCCCCCTTCAGTCCAGGGAGAGGCTCCTTACAGGGGGATGATCCTCATGGGAAGGTGGAAGCGCAGGCGGTACTGGCTCTTCATCATCTCCTTTCCCTGGAACTCACGCATCAGGTAATCCACATACTTCGGCTGCCTCGGGAAGAAGCCCAAGGGAGGGAGGGCATTGGCCAAATGGTCTGAGCATTGGGCTTCAGGACCCCACGACTGGCTTCCAGTGTCCTCCCCTCTCTCTCCCCAGTCCCTTCCAAGGGGCTCTGGGAGCCCTTCCCTGAGGCTGGCCAAGGGAAGCAGCCAAGCAACAGAGCTCTTCTTGGATCTGGAATGTGTGAAGGGCCTATCTGCACATACATAACAGCACCTCCCTCCTTATGTGTTTCTGTAAGGCTGAATCCATCTTCACACCCCTTCCACATCTGGCATCTCACTTGAATCTCTTTATTCACCCCTACTTTATGGATAATAAGACTGAGGCCATATAGGTATATAGCAGTTGCCTCAGCTCATATATCAAGTTAGTAGCAGCGGAGGACCCATAAGCCAGGCCACTAGGGCAACTCTAGACTCCACTGGCCAGCCTCATGAAAATATGGTCAAGGCCAAAATGGGTCACCATGTGAAGCTATAACAAGAAACAGGGAGTTTATTAAGAAAGATCATTGTGTAGCTGGCAGAGGATGCTAGAAACAAACTTATTATAGACTATTAAGAGGGCCGGCCCCGTGGCTTAGCAGTTAAGTGCGCGTGCTCTGCTGCTGGCAGCCCAGGTTCGGGTCCCGGGGGCGCACCGACGCACCGCTTCTCCGGCCATGCTGAGGCCGCGTCCCACGTACAACAACTAGAAGGATGTGCAGCTATGACATACAACTATCTACTGGGGCTTTGGGGGAAAAAAATAAATAAATAAAATTATTAAAAAAAAAAGAATATTAAGAGAAAGTAACAAAGGACAGCATGTGTGCTTAAGCTGAGGAGAGGTCTGATAACGCAGTTAACACACAGGTTCTTGGGGCCAAGTCCTTGGGTCTGAAGACTGCTTCAACTGCTAACTAGCTCTGCAATGCTGGGCAAGTTTCTTAACTTCTCTATGCCTCAGTTCCCCATCTGTCAAATGGAGGTAAACAACAGCACCAACTTCTTAGGATTCCTATGAGGTTTAAGTAAAATAATACATAAAGTGCTAAGCACAATGCCTGGTGTCAATGCTGGTGACCATTGTCATCATCGCTACATCAACATGTCAGACTATTTTTTGAACTTTTCTGTATTCTGTATTCTTAAATGCTATATATACTCATCATAGCACATTTAGAATCAGAAAAACAAAAAACAAACAAAAGCGTTATTATTAACATGCTCTAAAACTCTGACATTTTTTAATTTAACAGGCTTAATTTGTCCGTCCTGAGTTACCATAAAGGGCCAGGAGATGGTTGTGGCACCGGCTGGCATCCCCTAAGCAGAATGGGAGGCTGGTGTGCAGGAGAGCCCTGTGGCAGGTAGGGAGGGCCCTTGCTGCTCATGGCTGTGCACTCACGCAGGGGTCACTGACATTCATCATACATTCGCCTGTACCCTGGGAGGGGAATGAGCTGAGATGAGCCCAGCTCATGGAGTCTCAGGAGGGCCCCCTCAAAGACTCCGAGGGGTCCCTCTCCCAAGAAGCACCCTAGAATCCACAGGAGGCTTTCTGATGTCATGACTGCCCCCATCTTCAACCCTCATGTGCTCCACTGACCAGCCAAGGCCTGTACCCTCCCGCTTCCCTCCAGCTACCTGAGGCAGCAGGGGCGCCCTCCTCACCCAGGTGACGAAGCCGTTACATTCCGTGTCCACCTTCAGAAACAGCGCCTCTAGCACCTCATCTGACACAGTGCGCAGAATCTTCTTCATGGCCTTAATGAAAGTCTTCTTGTCCAGGGCTTCAAAAGAGAGAAGAAAGAACATCATCCACTTTATCACAAGTCACTCGGCCCCGTCACTGGCCACAGTGTTCTTGGGTGTTTGGGTGCTGAGGGAGGACACACAGGGAATCACATTTGTGGGGTTATCTTTTGCATCTCATCTGTTCAACATTCAATCACCCACAAATCCTGGCTACACCCCTTCCACATGAGAGCACCGTGTTGGCCCCAGAGCAGGGGGTCGGGGCGGGGCAACTAAAAAAGATCAGATCCAAGATCACATCCCATTTCTGAGCAAATAAGACAGCCCAGGCATTGAGACAAAGAAAGCTGATGAGAACTCCAAAAAAAAAAGAAGGAAAACAAAGTAAATAATGGCAACAAAGAGAAATAAATTCAAACATATAGAGGGAGAGGTGAAGGGCATCTTTTAAAGGCAATTAAAATACAAACTTTGGCTGGAGGGAAAGACGGGGAGGGGAGAGGAGGAGAGGGCGGGGACAAAATATTCTCGGGCTGGGTTTTGTGGCTGTAAGGAAGTCCGTCTGCAAATGGGTCAATAACTCCTGTCTAGATTTCTTGTTTATACTCACAGTACTTACAAAGTGCTTCTAAAACCCCTTCCAAATATTTGGACTTCTTGCCATGGCCTGAAGCTGTGCATCATCTGGCTGCTCTCAGATCTCCCCTCCCACCGCTGTCCCCTTCATTCTCTGCACCAGTCCTAACATCCTCACTCTGTTTCTCACACCACCAAGCACAGGCCCACCTCAAGGCCCTCGCACCATCTGGTTCCCTCCACAGGGAAGCATTCCTGGAGACTAAGTGGGCCACTCACCCCACTGCCCAGCTCCACTGTCCCCCTGACGTTCCTCATTACCGGTCCAGCCTGTGAGCTCTGGGAGTGCAGGGGTGAGCCTGTCCCCTCCATGACCGGGTCCCTGGCACTCAGCAAAGGTTTGTTCCCTGAGTGTTTCTGTCAGCACTAGGATGTGATGGCGATGACACTGGGTGCCAGTATCATCCGGGCTCATGAGGAAACTCTGGCACAGAGAGGGGAGGTCTTGTGCCCAAGGTCACACAGCTGGTACATGCGGCTGCTAAGCGGTGGCGCCAGCGGCTGACCCCCATTGACCCGGCTCCAGAGGTCACGCTCTCACCCTCCTCTGTGCTCCTCATAAAACACCCAGCACAGTGCTACAGCAGCAATTATTATTATTTATTGCTAGATTAGGGAACAAATGAAAGCCTGAATAAAACACGTCTTGGTTAAAGAAGGATCCATCTTGCTTATCTGAAGCTACAGCCAAGAGGCTTATGTATTTTGAGCGGCACTTAATGGCCCTTCCATGTGTAAGATGGACGCCAGATGACAGGCCACGAGCACAGAGCCTTCCCCTTGGGAGAGAGCTGGGAGTCACAGCGCCTTTGTTCAAGGTTTAATGAACAAACCCCTCGTGAAAGCAATCTAGGGATCGAGTCCTTTCACGGGTGTTTAAGAAACCATATATATTGTTCACTGCCCTAATAGTTTAACATACTTCCTCTTATAAACAGTTTACTAAAGATTTTCTGAGAATAACAGAGAATAGGCACAAAGGTATTTTGGAAAGGAAACGGACACTGTGGAGGCCAGGCAGGGCCCCTGCTTCCCTCTAAAAGGAAGTGCTCACCCATCCTATGCCAATGGTTAATTAATAGCTCTCAAAGCATGAATGTGAGAATACCACCTCCCTGGGGAGGGGTCACTACTAGGATCAGGCAGGAGGGCACTTTCTGGGGGCTCCCTGGTTTCCACCAGCCCACTGCACTGAGCCACCAGTGACCTTGAACCATACCCGATGATGCCTTTCCTCACCTCCTCCCTTCCAGTGGTGACCCCGCTGGCCACTCCCGCCTCCCTGGAGGCTCTGTGTGCTCTGGGCTCTGGGCTCTGCTCCGCTGTCGCCCTGCCCTGGCACTCAGCATCTGCCTCAGCTCTTCTCATCACTCTCCTTTGCTTTTCTGCTTGACACTCTCCTTGAGTGACCTCACCTATTCACCCATCTTTGCACCTCAGGGCAGAATTTCTCTCCCATGTCCCTGACTCTGTTTCCAAGTATCTCCCTGGCTCCTCCAACTCAGCAGGTCTAAAATCCTGTTTATTATCTTTATCCCGTAACTTGCTCCCATTTCTTGTGTTCGCCATCGCTGCTAACAGCGTCACCCTCACCCAGTCACCCAAGCTGAAAACCCAAGGGGGGTTTTCAATGCCCTTTCTCCTAAATCCACACAGGAATCCTATGATCTTAGAACGTAGGCACTGTCGTTCTCCCCATCTTACAGATGAGGACACAGAGGCACAGAGAGGTTCGGAGATTTGCCCAAGGACACACAGTGATGCAGCAGAGATTTGAAACCAGAAGCCTTCCCTCCTCTCCATTATAAGCTCCACTCCTCTATGGAAGGCCGTCACACCATGAGCCGGGGCTCTTACAACTGCCTCTCAACCAACCTCCAGCCCTTAAGGTAGTAACATTAGGAGAAAAAAAGGTCTGAAATTACATATACAGTACAATTACAGACATGTGGCATCTGTGGCAGAGAGACTTAAGGTGGCCCCCATGATGCCCACCTGCTGGTGCTCATGCCCTCCTGAGACCCCTCCCCTGGAGTGTGGCAGAACCTGTGACTTGCTCTAACCCACAGAATGCAGCAAAGGTGACAGGATGTACAGGACTATGTGCACATGATTACACGGTTATGTTATAGGATTACAGCACACATCTTGCTGGAGTTTCCACCTCCCTGGCCAGCTTGAGCCTTGAAATCAGCCATGCTGGTGAGTCCCACGTGGCCAGGAACAGTGGACAGCTCTAGGAGCTGAAAGCAGTCGCCCACCAATAGCCAGGAAGACACAGACAGCCTCAGCCCTGCAGCTGCAAGGAACCAAATTCTGCCAACAACCTGAGTGAGCTCTGAAGTGGATACTTCCCCAGCCCAGCCCCGGATGATTCCGCAGCCCCAGCTGACACCTGGACTGCAGCCTGTGAGACCCTGAGCAGAGGAGTCAGCTAAGCTGTGCCTGCCCGACTCCTGACCCACCGAAACTGAGGGATAATAAACATGTGTTGGTTTAAGCCACTAAGTTTGTGGGAATATTGTTACACAGCAATAGATGATAAACCATACATATGAAATTGTTTGGAAGAAAATATACCAAAATGCTGACAGTGGTTACGTTTCAGTGTTTGGATTAGAGGTATTTTTTTTTTTATTTTCTATGTCCCAAATAGCCTCCAATATGCTTACAATACTTATATAACAATAAGAAGTTTTATCCCACTCCTGATACCAAAAAAAAAGTTTTAAAGGAGACACTGGATGCAAAAACGCTTGTCAAGTCTGAACTCTCCACACACCCCAAATGCTGGGTCCCATCCTGTGCAGAAGCCACAGAGACTGAGGCCACAGTGCAGCTTTACCTCCAGTTGAGTCAATGTCCTCTTCAAACATTTTCTCTATCTCGGCCAGGTGCAGCTTGGTAACCAGCTGAGACTCCTGCTGCAAGTCGGGCGTCTGGCTAAGGGTGACCGATGGTGTCAGGGAGCCAGGACCCCCCTTGCTCTTCTGGAATCTACCTGGGGTGGACGCCTGGAACAAATATGACGACAAGAACCAGAGGCTGACAGGGTTGATCTCCTGAGTCAAACATTGTTAAGCACATCTTATTGAAAGAGAGACTCTGGGGAAGGACAGGGTAGGTAGTGTTATTGTGTGTTACTAACTGAGGCAAACAAATAAGTCTTACCCACTTTTAGACCTAGGAAGGCCAACAAAGATCCAGACTGTTTCTCTTGACTTTGGGGAGTTAACCGTCATTCCCCTTTTGCAGATGCCACAACTGAAGCTCGGCAAGGTTAGTGGACACAGCCAAGGCCCCACCTCACACATAACAGGACTCTAATTTATAAGGTAGTTTGGTTCAGAACTATATTGTTTCAAATCTCCAGTGGTCAGAATTCAAGACTCCAAGGAATCCAGCTCCATCTTCCCCAGCCAATTTGATCTGGTCCTGATGAGCCCAGACACCCCCTGGGTCAGGTCAGGTCATCCGTGAATACCCCAAGGCTCATGCTGACCCCTCCATCAGAGGCCCTTGGCTTCCTCCTACTCACCTTCCCACATCCCCCACATCGCCTTCCCACCCCTCCAGCTCTCAACAATGCTTCCTCTCCTCAGCTCCTGCACATGATTCATTTTGACACTTAGCCCAGTGCTTCAGGTCACTAAAGGCTCAGGTCATCAAAGGCTGCTGCCCTAGAAAGACTCCGGCTGTGGGCTCTGGGCTAACTATTGAGTGTTGTTCGCTGAGATGTGCTGCTTTGGGCCTTGGGCAGTCAAGAAGACTTTGGTTCAAAAAGCCAAAAGACAAGGTGCAGGTTGGATGGCTCACTCTCCCCACCCCCTCCCACCAAACGAGCAAATGTGCTCAGCCTCTTGTGAACTTTCATTCACTCACTCACGGTCTACACACACTCGTTGAGGGCCAGGCACTATGGACACATGAGTGAACAAAGTGGAGACCTGCTTTCACGGAGCCCAACTCATGAGCTAGTTAATGTGCTCAGCAGCCACGCAGGCCCCCAAATTCAACATCTCAGCACCATCTTGGGCTCTTTCCTCTTTCTTCTACGCATTCTTACTGTCCCTCCTACTGATTCTTACTGTGATCTCTCTCCTACATCTCAACCCTCCTCTCCTACAACCCTGTCCCACCACAAACTCTGGTCTTTTGCTGGGACAATTACAATGACCTCCCCTAACTGGGACCAGAATTTGGCCTTCCCTTCCAATCCTCCTCCGACACCGGCACCAATCATCTTTCTGGAAGGCAAATCTGATCATGACTTTCCCCTGGCTCTGATACTTTCCAGGCTCCCCCACCACCCCCAACTCCTGAGTGTGGCATTCAAAACCCTTCGCATGTAGCCCAGACCTGTCTGTCTAGTTTCAACGCACACACCATGGTCGAGGCACACCAACTGCTCTCCATCCCCAAACACAGCAAGCATTCCACTTTTACTCACATTGTCCCCTCTGTGCCATACAGATCATCTCCCCCAGAGGTGAACTCCTATCCATTCTCCACAGTCTGCTCAAATGGCACCTCCTCCAAGGAGCTTTTCCATAACTTTCAGATGAGAGCCATCACTGCCACCTCCATGCTCCCAACCTCTTTGCCCATATCTGCCACGCACGCATGATGCTTGTGTATGTCTGTCCATACGTGTAGACAGCAAGGTGTGACAGGAAACACACAGCTGTGGAGTCCCAGAGCTCTGGGTTAGAATTCTGCCTGGCTCCCTACTTCCAAGCTAATTTATCTTGGACATATCACATCACTTCTCTGAGCCACAAGTTTCCTCACCCGCGCAACAGAGGTGCACAGTACCCACCGTGCAGGGATGTGGGGAGACCTACATGAAACCTGTGCACATGTGAAGCCCCGCAGACTGCAGTTACACAATAAATTACAGCTCCTGTTATACTCCCCATCTCACAGTGAGCTCTTTGAAGGCAAGGGCATATTTAATTTATCTTAATTTAATCTTACTTTAATTTATACTAATTCTCTCTCTGTTCCCCAGCCCCAAGCACATAATAGACACTAAATACTTATCTGGCTTGACAGTAATTTGTCCAGCCCATCCCACCATTATCACAACTTGGCTGGACAAAATTAAATAGAATCCATGTAGGACTGCAAATTGGTAGCCTCAGGTTTGTTGCACTTGGCCAACGCAGTGCTTTAAAAGGAAAAACCAGCCCGTGCACACTTCAGTTACCTACGTGGCCTTGTAAATATCTGAGTTTGCAAACTCTGGTGCAAAGACTGATAACCGATAGACTTCTATGTTGATGAGTGATGTCTGGGTGGCTCCAAAACACCCCCTCCCTTTATCAACTCTGATGGTTTTCTTACCTTTTGAGGTTGAGGGCTCTCTCTCAAGTCCTTGAAAGACACTGGTGTTGACCTAGAATAGGGAACCACAGTAGCTTTAACTCCAGTCTTTGCAAGGAACATGTCAGGGGCTGCCCTAGCCGGGTCACAGGAGAGTGGAAAAGTCAGGGTTGGGGGCTGGCTGCCCATGGACACCCCAGCACGCGTTTGATGAGAATCCCTTTCCCCATTGGGCCTTCTCCAGCAGGGAGTTTTTCCCAAGCTTACACCTGTGAGCCTTCTTTCCCCTGACGGCAAGTTGTCCTCCTGAAGCCCTGGGGCTTCCCAAGTTACTATACTCCTGGCCTAATGTCAGAGACTTCCTAAAGGAGGTCACCCTTTTCACAGTATTAGAAGGGGCTTAGGAGACCATGTGGTGGTCCAACTACAATTCACGGATAAAGAAAATTAAGGTCCAGGGGCAGGCACATGTGCAAAGGGCCAAACACATGCTCCAGATGTGGGGCAGGATGGGGCCCCGACTTTCCACTACATACCACCCCCCACCAGCCCTCCAGTGCCCCTGGAGACAGAACTCTCCTCACAGTAGCATAGGATCAGGTGAGTGTGTGAGAGAGGGCCATTCCTTGGAGCTCTGCTCTGAGAATATAAAGGGCACTTTTCCACAGGGTCAGTGGCACCTCCACTGGGTTGGAAGATAGTGTTTTGTTAGGATTGTTGGAGCGTCAGTCTACCTCAGAAGCAGGTCCCGCCAGGCGAGAATGGAGAGGGCACTCTGGGAAGGCAGGAAATGGACAGGAAAGAGTCAAGCCCCGGGCAAGCTCAGGGCACAGAGCGATTGAGCCAGCTTGGCTTGACAAAGGGTTCCTGGGGGAAAGCGAGTGGGGGGCAGGGGGAGGAATAGTGAGAGAGAAGAGAGAAAAGAAAAACTGGAAGCAGAATGTAGAATCTTAAACATCTCACCAGGGAGTCTGAACAGGACGAAGGGCAATTATGAAAATTCATCAGCATAAGATGGAGGGAAAGAGGAGGAGGAGGAAGATTGAAAACTGGCCAACAGTGTCCTAACCTAACAGTGCCATGGCGACAGCTCACATGTAAGGACCAAAGGAGAGAGAAGAGCCAAAGGAAAGGATATTTGGACACCAAGAACCAGGGTAACTGAGAGAAATGCCAGAAAATGTCCAGAAAAAGGAACAAGGAGGGAAAGTGGCTTAATGCCTGTGATGTTGGGCTGTCCAATTAGAAATAAAAAACAAATACCTGGAAATATGGAGACTGAAACTGGAGGAGTGGCTACATTTAGGGGACAGAAAGAGGAGGAGAAACACACACAAGACAGGATGAGTCAGCTAGGAGGATGGGATGCTTCAGAGCGGGCCAAGATGATAAGAAGAAAAGGCCACTGAATATGGCAAGTAAAGGTCACCGGTGAAAAAAGATAGCCAAGACTTGGAAGCAACCTAAGTGCCCATCAAGGGACGAATGGATAAAGAAGATGTGGTATATATACACAATGGAATACTACTCAGCCATAAGAAACGATGAAATCCAGCCATTTGTGACAACATGGATGGACATTGAGGGTATTATGCAAAGTGAAATAAGTCAGAGGGAGAAGGTCAAATACCGTATGATCTCACTCATTAAGTAGTAGATAATAACAACAACACACAAACACACAGAGACAGAGATTGGACTGATGGTTACCAGAGGGGAAGGGGGAGGGAGGAGGGCGAAAGGGATAATTAGGCACATGTGTGTGGTGATGGATTGTAATTAGTATTTGGGTGGTAAACATGAGAACATGATGTAATCCATGCAGAAAGAGAAGTACAATGATGGGGCCGGCCCCGTGGCTTGGTTAAGTGCTCGCGCTCTGCTACTGGCAGCCTGGGTTCAGATACCGGGCGCACACCGATGCACCGCTTCTCCAGCCATGCTGAGGCCGCGTCCCACATACAGCAACTAGAAGCATGTGCAGCTATGACATACAACTATCTACTGGGGCGATGGGGGAAAAAAATAAATAAAATTATAAAAAAAAGAAGTACAATGATGTACACCTGAAATTTATACATTACTGCAATAAACAAAAAAGAAAGAAAACTGGGGGGAAGAAAAGCTGCAGAAGTGTATTTGTTGGTCCATTTCTATTAAGAATATATGCATGTGTATGTTGGCACAGGCATAGAGAACGAGCCTAGAAAAACATACTGCAAATGTAATGGCACTTATCTCTGGCAAGTGAGATTATAGAGGATTTCTATAGTCTAAATCATGCATTTCTCTATTTTTTTTAATTCAAAAAAGGTTCACGGCAATCTTTAGGACTTATTTCAACGGAGTGGGTAGAGTGGTGTGTAGTGATTTCAATTACTCATCTGAGAGAGACCATTATACAAGAGTGGTTGCTGCAGCATCGTTCATAGCAGCAAAAAATAAAGTGAATGGCTATCAGAAGAATGACCGAATAAATCAATACACCTGCACTCAGAAATTACCTAAGCACTCAGAGATGAATCTGACCTTCAGTAGCTGACTAAGAGGGATTTCTATGAGGTATTTATAAGTAAGGAAACATGCAGAAAATAGTGCACAGTATGATGCCAATTCCTATAAAAGAATGACAAATAGGTATACGTTTATACACATAAGAAATGTGTGAACACACACACACATACACACATTTGTAAATAGGACGACCCTTAATAACTATGGGCCCGAGGGCAAGGGAACAAACATAGGTCCCCACAGCAAGTCTAGTTATTTTAAATGTTTATAAATCAAGTTAATACAGTACTAAATAAAATACATTCTATTCTCCTACCTTGACAAATACACTTTCATAACAACCTGGAAGGCCAGGTTCAAATGTAGAATTTTTTTTTTTTTTTTTTGTGAGGAGGACTAGCTCTGAGCTAACATCCGATGCCAATCCTCCCCTTTTTTCTTGAGGAAGAGTGGCCCTGAGCTAACATCCATGCCCATCTTCCTCTACTTTATATGGGATGCCGCCACAGCACGGCTTACCAAGCGGTGCGTCGGTGCGTGCCCAGGATCCGAACCTGCGAACCCCGGGCCGCTGAAGCAGAGCGCGCGCACTTAACTGCTTGCGCCCCCGGGCTGGCCCCCAAATGTAGAATTCTTGAACGCCTCAGCTCAGTACCAGAATCCGGCAGTGTGGGGAGAGCCGGCCTCGAAGCCCTCCACCCACCCCCATGCCCACTCCGTCCTGCTCAAGAGGCTTGTGGGTGGTGGCATGTGGATGGACACCCCAGCCCCACCGTCCAGGCTGCACCTCCCCTTCACCTCCACTGCTGCACGGCCACCTTTCGCCTAAGGAGGGCTGCTCTCAAAAATGGTGCACTGGGGAATGGGCTCACAAAGACCCTGGAATCAGGTTTAAAGCAATTAAAGCAGGGAATTCCAGTATTTACAGCAGTGGAGGGGGGAGGGGGCCGGGGGGTGCCACGTCCACTTAGCCCTTGGACTCCTCACCTGGTAGAGAGGCACACAGTCAGAGGAGGGACAGAGCAGAACACCCTAAAGCTCAGGGCCCTGGGCAGGGGCCCTTCTTGCCTGGGTCTAAAGGGTACTGTACTGTCAGTACATGCAAAATTATGAGTACAGAGAAAAACACAGAAGGACATGCACTAGGGCATGGATATGAGTTATGGGGAGTTGGGGACAAAAAAGGTGGGCCAAGAACAAAGGAATACAAAAAGTCTGCACTAACCAAAGGCACGTCTATCATCACGTTTACATAGAGCAGGAAAGCAGGGGTTATGTATAAAGAAAACGAGTATGTTTTGTTTTACTCTCAAGTCTTGGCTAACGAGCGATGAAGTTAACATCACCAATGAGGGAGCAAAAGGCCATCACATGCCTCCTGGTGTGTACACTCAGGACCCATCACTTCAGTGCTATTACTGGCAAACATGCATAACCTGAATCGGATCAAGAGGAACCAGACAAACCCAAACTGCAGGACATTTCACAAAATAACTGGGTTTTATTCCTAAAATGTCAGTATCGTGGAAAATGAAGAAAGGCTAAGGAACCACACCAGATTCAAAGTGACTCAAGCAAGTCAACAACTAAAGGCAATGTGTTATTCTCAACTGGATCCCAGACTGGGGAAAAAAGCTCTACGGGCCACTATTAGGACATTGGTGAAATCTGAACACGGACTCTGCATTCCTAGATAATATTGAATTAATGTTGTTTCTTGCTTTTGACTACTGTACTGAGGTTCTAAGAGAGAATGCCCTGTTCTTAGGAAATATACACAAGTATTTAAGGACAAAATGTCTGTAATTCATTCTCAAATGGTTTAACAAACATATATAGTCACGAGTCACTTAACGATGAGGACACGTTCTGAGAAATGCATCGTTAGGCGATTTCATTGCTGTGCGAACATCATAGACTGTACTTACACAAACCTAGGTAGTGTAGCCTACTACACACCTAGGCCATATAGTACGAATTTTATGGGACCACCATCATATATGCGGTCTGTCATTGACTGAAATGTGGTTATGCGGAGCGTGACTATAATGATAAAGCAAATGTGGCAAAATGTCCACAGTGAGTCAATCTAAGCAAAGGGGAGTTCTTTATACTATTTTTACAACTATTTAAATATTTTTAATATTTCAAAACTAGAAGTTTTAGAAGAGAGAAACGTTTAACCAGGAGAGAGGAGCTCTGTGTACATGTATGTTCATGGGCTAAAGCAACAAGTGGAAAATATGCTGGTTGAGGGCCACAGAGATACCCACGAGAAAAGGATAAGAGTGAGAGGAGGAAGCAGAGAGCAGCACTGCCCTCTGATACTGGAGGCAAGAAGAGAAAACGTACATGTAGAATTACAGTTCTATTTTGAATGAGACAACAGGTAAGATCGGGGAAGCCCCACCCACTGGCCTCAATCTACTCCCTGAAGTTCACCTGCTCTGGGGGAAGCAGGGGGGATGGTATAAACCTGGAAACAGGGGTGAGCTTGGAAGAGCTGGGGCTGGGGGGCAATAAGTGCTTGGCTGAATAGTTAGTCTGTAAGAATTTGTAGCGGGGGATGACTTAAGGCCAAATGAGGTTACAGCTGTCCTGGCAATGAGTAAGAAGAGATGCTCTCCTGTGCAGCCTTTGTTCTCAACAGAAACAAATCTGAAGGCCCAGGTGTCCAAGCTTCAGGAGACGACTTGAACCCCAAACTCTCACTCACCCTGACCCAATCTGCTCTCCCCAGCTAATCCTGCTGGCTATACTTGACAGAGACTCATTGGTTTTCAACTCCCATCTCGACTGAGACATCTTGACAGCTCTCCCAGAGTTCCAAGTAGCTCTCTATGAAGTCGCTGTGGAACCCCACGGGGTTCCACCTGACTGCAGAGTCAGCTAGCCACATCTAGAACCAGGAAAATGAGAAAGAATTCCATGTGCAGGACACAAAACAGAACATCAGAATCCATCCCACAAACCATAGCCACGCAGCCATTTTTCAACTGATTTGAGATGTCCTCTTTATTGATGAAGTTGAACTTACAGGACACAGTGACAGGAGCTACGCAAACAGCCAGGACAAGTATGACTACAAAACGACCCACAGGACAATACAGCAGAGTGCCCACCTTTCATGGAAACTGTGGAAACTGCCAGGGAGCCCTATGATAGCGCCAGTTCACCAAAACCAAAAGGCCAACGGGCCCTCCCAGTTGGGACAGTGAAAGGCGCAGCAGCTCTCTTAACAGGCCCTCTGCATGAGCTCCAAGTCTTTGAAAAGAGGAAGGCTCCAAGAGCATCGTGTGTGACATGGGGTCTTACAAACCCAGACCTCAGAGCAGGCCCGGACTCGATGCAGTGCTGTTCAGTCTCAGTCCACTGCACAGGCAGCGGACGTTGTCATCAAAGGTTAATCTCCTGCAGAGATTTCAACCAGGGACACAGATTCCAGCTTTAAAGATAGCCAGCTAAACAACATTTCATGATGACCTAGATGTTACCAAAATGTTACCTGACCACCACCAAACCAGACATTCTCCCCCGACCTACAGTATAAAGAGAACACCAACACACATGAAAAATTTCTACTCCCACTTCATCAATAATGGAGACAAAGAGTTGCCACATTGTAGAACATTAAAAGTAGAGTAGTTAATGAAATGTCATAAAAGGTGCAGAAGGTCTTTTAAATCAGTTTTATTAAACTAAGTATAAATAAACTAGAAGGGTTTATTAAAAAGAAACAACAAGGCTGATGGCCCTACATCTGACTGTTTCCCACTGTTTTTTTGGTTATTTTCTTTTTCCAGTCCAATGTTATTCCTACTTAGAGCAATTCCTATACTTATCAATATTTTTATATGGGTCTAAAATATGCTAAATTCGGTCACAATAAATATATTTTTCCTTCCAGAAAAAAGGGTAAATATTAAAATGCATTCCACTTTTTAGGTAAGGAAAAGTTCAGAAAACTCCCACCTAAAAAGAGTGAAAATATGATCAATAATAATTCAGGTAGAAAAAAAAAACAGAAGTGGAGGAAGGGCATTTAGAAGAAAAAATCTCCTAGATAAATCTCTGCACAAAAATAATTCTGGAAAAAAGGTCAGAGTCCTACTTGAGACTAGTTCAGGCATCACGTGCCAATCCTAAGGAGATTCTGATCCCTAAAGGCGGAGGTGAGATGCTGCCAGAAGGGAGCAACGTTGACAGCCAGGGCCGCAGTGACACCGACAGTTGACCGCTGCAGGGAAGGCTCCTCACTACACTCAGCAGCAATGCAGTACTGTCCTCTCCAGCTTCCCCACTGTGGGTCTTAAAACATCAAAATCTGCATCCTAATATGCAATTATATGTGTCAGTTGTTACTCAATAAAGTTAAAAAACTCGTATCCTTCTCAGCTTTATATAATTTGTAAAAAATTTTAAGATGCAACTTGACAGCCAAGAAGAGAGGCTTTTTCCTTTCAAACACGAATAAACGAGAGAGAAGTCAGTGACTGTTGGAACTGGAGGGCCCCCTGAAGATTAATATTAAGATCACATCTTTAGTTGAGGTCAACAACACAGAAGCCATGACATTTAAAACAACGCTCCTGGGCCAGCCCCGTGGCTTAGCGGTTAAGTGCGCGCGCTCCGCTGCTGGCGGCCTGGGTTCGGATCCCGGGCGCGCACCGACGCACTGCTTCTCCGGCC